GGGGCTGCGTGTGTATGTATGTAACTGGGCCGCTCCGGTGAGAGCAGCGGGTCAGGGTCTGGGACGGCCATTGACCGGAGAAAGTCACCAGGCACCCCCACCCAAAACTGGAAGCAGAGACACCCTAAATATCTCTGTGACAGATCAAACCCAGAAAAGATGGGCTTCGCCATCTTTGGCCAAAGAGCTGAGGGCCATCCAGATCTTATACTACAGTTCTAAGCAACGAGGCATCCAACAGAATGGCGGTTTTGTTTGTTTTATTCCAAAAGCACTTCATTAAAAATGGTTTAAAAATACTATACACAGCTGTTTCAGTTTCTCAGAGTGCTGTCTCCCCATTGACTAAAAATACAAAAATCAGAAAAGCCCTTGCACTTGTGCAATTCGTTTCCCCAGGAACCGGGCTATTTTAACCCCCGGCTTCCCTTCCTTCGCAGGCTGGGAGAACTCTGGCAGCCGCATCCCTGCGGCTGTGCCTGGCACCCACGCACACACCTGTGGAGGTGGACTTAGTGTTATTGCTCCTGGCAGCATTTTCTTCTCTGGTCCAAACTTGACCACAGAGGAGACCAGGAGCTGTTGCCACTGTTCTCTGCCATTAGTGTGCTGCTTCCTATGCCTTGAGGACACTTTACCATCAGGGGTGCTCCCCTGGCAGGCAGTGGTCCCCTTGGGTCCCGTGGTGCTGCCCACGCTGTTCCGAGCTCCTGCCCAGGAAGACGCTGCTTCCAACCAGGACTCTCTCAACTCAGGGGCCATAGAGTGTTTTGGAAATTACACTCCCTGTGGGCCAAGCAGGCTGTAGTGGGGATAAATACAGTGAGAGGCAAGCAACCTGTGACCGAACTCAAAACGAGTAACATGAGGAATAGTTGCCGCTGTGTGGCTGAAGACATTCCCTCAACCAGACTGAAACAAATGAGAAAAGGAGTGTAATGGCAGTGGGGAAGAAAAACTAATACTGAAGTGAGCAGACATGTTACCAGCCTCAAAAAAACCCCCAACCCGAACAAAAAAACAAAAACCAACCCTAGAGCGATTACAGAAGGGGATCAGAACAGTGAATCCGTGAACATCTGGAAAAAAGAACTGACTGTACCTCTGTGTATACTTTCTCTGGGTTATTAAGGATGTCTGACCAGCTGAGCGGGGACAGCTTGTTAACAGGGGCTCAGTTCTGCGTGGCTGTGCGGGCACCCAGCTCATCTGTCGGAGGATGAACCATCTTTATCTCGGTTGCCAACTGCTTGGCTGTCTGCTACTCACTGTGGCAACATAATCATCACTGGCTGCTCCCTGATGAGGTAGGTAGTTTAACTGTGCAAGGATCATTTGCCTTTTCAGTGGCCCATCAAAGCCTTACCATCAACCTCGTTAAAAACCCGACATAAACATCAGAAAACTAAGCTCTAAGCTATCTAAAAAGGTTACCCCAAATCCCAGTACCTGCTTCTGTCAGGGAACACCTAATATCCCAAGTGCTGTCACACAGGTGAGAAAACACTGACTGTTTGCCAAAAAAAGGGGCGTGTATCTCCCAGCTGAGTGTAGCTGACAGTCTATGTACCTTGCCCATGAGTACAGAGGACTTGGCAGAAAGTCCAGTAACATTAACAGTAAGTCTTCTCATTGACTGAATGGGATTTAGGATCACTCTGAGACAGGTGGTAACTAAGACCCAAATGCTAACAACTCTCCTCCAGACACGAGCATAACCACCCCATTAAATAGCCATAATCCAACATTCTACTGAATGTTCTCATGGCGACAGTCCCACTGTATGGGAACAATTTCAAAGTTAGCCTATCACCGGTCTCCGTAGTTCTAGTGTAAAGGATAAGAAGTCTGAGAGAAAAAGAAAGAAGATACACTGATCTTCAGATTTCCACAGAGATCAGTTTGAGCTGAAAAGAAAAACAGGTAAGTCTCTACAGTTCTGTTTTCAGCCGTTCAGAAGTGATCTCGCTGTAGCTCTTCCTCTTTTTCACTTTGTAAGTCAAGGCTTGGGAATATTCAGACAGCAGATGCTCCCAGTAGCAAGAGACATCCTCCATCTGCAAGTGCTCGGTGATGAATTGGCGTCCCCTAGAGACACACAAGGCACAGTCAGAACCAATTCCCAGTTCCTACAAGAGTCTTTGGTTTTGTTTTATACGTATATCAACTTTCACTCTTCTGTGTTTCAAATGAGAAACAACATGCACCGCTCCATACCATCTATTTTAATTTCACAATTTTCATTCACGCTCACAGCTCTGACAGTTGCAGTGCTTTTGTTATCCTCAAGATGGTATTTGTTATCTGGGATAATAAATATCAGATTTCACATATCAGATACAGCCTGAGCAGCACAGACGCATGCTGCTTCAGAAGCCAGGCGCTGCCAGCCTGGATACGTAATGCTTGTAACGCAGACACAGTTCCCAGGGGTCAACTCGCCTCACACCAAGATGAAAGCTCCCAACTTCTGATAGCTTTCAGTGGGGTTCCTGACACGGGTCACACCTGAACCAAAGACCTGAGCATATAATCTTGTTCTCTGGTTCCCCCAGCTTGGTACAAGTTCCCCAACCCTCCTACTGTTATTGCAGAAGATCAGTTATATCACACCCTATTAATACTAGGTTATCTTTGATAGGTAACCCCATCAAAAGCTGCATAAGAAAAAGCTTTGGAAGAAGAGCGCCTGACAGCCAGAAAGGACACACAACTTACCTCTCTGCAATTTCTTGTGCTATGGCATCATTTTCCTTAACAAATTGCAACAGCTCCCTAAAATGAAGAAAAAAAACAACCCGCTATGAAACAACTAATTTAACGGAGAACATTGTCCCTTACCTAAACTATTTTGGAAGATGAGATTAAGGATCTACAACTGAGCGAGAGACAAGTGCTCCTCATTTCAGAGCACAGAATAAACGTGTCATTCTCAGTTGTTCCGTATTGGTTATGGATGGCATGCTGAAATCTGGGAGCTAACACATTTTTTGCCCAGCAATGCATTCACTTCCCCTCATCTGTGCTCCAAATTTAAGTGCCTAGTGCCTGCTGCTTTCAGTGAGGGTGACAGACCTCCACACCCCAGTGAAACTGGATTCTCTAAGTAATAAGGATTCTTTGGGGCCAGTAATAAAGAGGAAAGAACATGACCTCCACCAGCATTTGTCTGCTGCCTAGGAGTGGAGGCACTTCTTAGCACAATACAAACCAAACTGCCCTCCCAAACACAGTAGTGTTTTTTCCGCGGCATGCAATGCTCCGCTGAGCACACTTGAGGTCTCATACCTGACATTGGAGAGGTCTGATTGGACTGGGATGTAGTGGACCCAAGGCTTCAGCTGGGGATAGAAGAACTCCAGCCACTCTTCTCCAACATGAAAGACGAGCGAACCACATAAGAAAAGGTGTTTCAACCGGAAACTGGCAGCCACTCCCCGGAAATTAAACAGATACCTTTAAAACAAGAAGCAAAGAGAGGGACCTGATTACACCTGGCATTGTGTGAGGAAATACACTAAGAAACGGGGCTCAGAGTAGCAGCCAACCCTCCCTCACGGGTAGCAGCTGGGGAGGTCTCCCTCACATCGAGCCAAGCACCTGCTGCTGAAACACGGGAAAGACATTTATTTGAAGCTCCTCACAGTAAAGGCGAGCTAAGTTAAGGACGTGCTAGGTGAGCTTCTGCTGCCTGTCAAAACTGAGGTTGAAAATTACAGCGTGCTGCTTTACCTGCCCGTGACAAACCAAGAGAGGCCTCATGGACAACTGCCAACAAGGCACGGAAGGTCACAACGTGGATGCAGATCCTGTGACTCTTCACTTCAGACTCTGTTACCACGAGGAGCTTTTTCCCAATTCTCTGTTGTCTTGCAGTGAGCTTTTTTGTTCATTGTTCTGCTTTGCCACGTCTATCTCAGTTGGGGTTTTGGTTGTTTTTTTTTTTTTTTTCTCTGGGATTCTGCTTTAATCTGAATCTAATTGTTTCATATTAACTTGGGAATGCAACCCTAGGAGGTTAAACAGGCTAGCACACAACAGATGGACTTTGCAGATAACAAAGAATCCACAATTTTGTTTTCACTATTTTCTGCCAAGTTAGGAAAGCTGACTTGACTGGGGGAGGATTTCTCTTAGCAAACTGTATCTCAGAGGGATGTTTGTTTGCTTACTTGCTTTTTAAACCCACGTTTCTCCAATTATATGGAAAGCTGTTTTTCCTGTGGGTAAAACCCCTCAGTACATATAACTAATCTTTAAAGTCAAACATTTTGGGCTGGGGGAAGGGAGTTCTTCCTTTAATGAATCTATTTTGGGTGAGATGGAGATTATATATTATATATATTTGGGCTGAGATGGGAATTATATCTAAACTTAGTTCAGCAGTAAGTGACAAGGAATAAATCTGAAATTATTTTGCATTCTTTGTTATTACCTAGGAGTTCAAGTCAGGGATGAGGAGCTCATCATATTAGGAACTGAACAAGTAAATGTAGAGATGTAACAAGAACAGTAGTCAGGAAGTGAGGAAACGTCTCTGTCCAATTCCAGACACAGCTCCCACCATCCGTGACATCAGCCACGCCACTGATGGCTGCTGTCAGACAGCCTGCCGTAGCACCTACACTGAAGGAAGCGGCAAGAAGTTCATGTCGACGCTACCAAACCCTGGGCTACGACAAAAGCGTGTGAGAATGTCTCAGCCCATACAATACGAGGGGCTTAGGAGGCAGGAGGAGTTGGGAAGTCTATGTGGAACAGAAGGGAGAAATCTGGGCAACAGTTTAGTGAAATACAAAATGAGACAAGTCAATTACATTTGCACAAAAACACAGATCCAGCCAAACGACTGAGTTCTCGTATCAGTAGATTCTAGCTGGTGGAATCATAACTAGGCAATTTTAAAGCAAAACAAAATGCATAACATCAGACATGCAAGTGCATTCACACTACCGGGTTTGTATTTTTTACACAGAAACCCAGAAGAATATTACACAAAAAAACCCTCCCTAAAGTAGTTAAAAAATGAAATCCTTTGTAAATCAAAACCACAGTCTCCCAAACTACATACAAAGTATGAATCAATACTATATCTGCTCAACCATATTTCAGCCTCTCTCTTTTACTATATACATCCAATGGCAACACTTGCCCCAGTATGCATATGAGGACATGATTCCTTAGTTCTGCATGTCTTTGAAGACAGTAATGGTATCACTGTAGCACTGAAAAAATAATTTTGAACACACAGCTTGGTACAGGAATACAAAGAAAAAATAATAAAGCCTTTTTGATTAAAAAAATAAATTTTTCAATCTATATGTTTATTAGTGATCTAAGACCTTTACTTTCCCCAAAGCACTTTGTTTCTCCCGATGTGACAGAGGAAAGCTGACACTGAAAGAGGCCATGCTACGCTCTCAAATTTTCAACCACTTCATGCTTGTTCTCAAGCTTTTCTGTCTGCATGGAGCTGGTTGCTGGAATCAGGTCTTAAAATAAAATGAGACCTTGCACCATGCAAGGAAAGAAATAACCCACAGCATTTGAACAGCTTTACTAATCAAAACTCTTACTTGTATTTGCAGTGATCAACCAGTGGAATTTCCTTTGCAGGAGGCTTCCCTAAGGTGTCCTTAAAATAAAGAGAATTAAAAAAAAATAATCAGGAAGTTTTATATGGCAATCTCGTATTTGTTTTCCTTCTCAGTTAGAAATAAAGCTAAAGTCTCAAAACCCTCTATTCCCACTTCTGAGAAAATCTTCTCTGGTGGGCTTTTCGAATTATTATGAAGAACTCCCAGCCCTTCAAACAAGAAAAAAAGTTCAGTAAATTACACATTGCCTGTAAGCAAATGCCAGCACAAACACATTAAATGATAATGTTTAGTTGGCAGCTACAGAGTGGAAAACAGCTTGGGACAACTGACTATGTGAAGCCAAGTGTAACTGGATTAGCCAAAACTGTCTGGAGAGAGCTGGACGGTAAACTAAGTATGGAACTAAAAAGTTATCAGCAACAGTTATCAGAAAGTTACCAAGAACAAGACCAAGCAACGGAGATGACAGAAAAAGGTTTGAAAAAGACACAGACAGCTCAGGGCTAGAAGGGAAGGAGTTGGCTGCTTTCATAATAATGGAAGAGGAGGGGATTGGCATAGGTTAATTTTCTTATGTGTGCTGGTTTCCTTGAATGAAAAGTGTAGACGGAAGAAAAATGTTTGGCCTGTCAGGCTCTCAAGGATCCTTCCTTTCATCTGTCATATGTGGCCATCAAGGAAATTAAAAGCCTCTCCCACTCCAGAGGATCACCCACAACTCTCCAACAAGACGCTTCTCAATCATCACAGCCATCTTGCAACACTACCCTTCTGGCCTTCACGCTCAGGAGACAAGACAACACCCACACACCTTCTCAGATTTCCAAGCCTGGTTTTTAGTGTACTCAGCATCAACAAGTTCTGGGTTTTCTCGGGACAGCAGAATGAGGGGATCTCTCTCAGGGCTCGTTCTGCAAAAGAAATGCTATCAGTCATTGCCAATCCACCTCACTCAACACAGCTAAAAAACTACAGGACTCAAAACCCTACCTCTTTATGAGGCTGACCTCCACATGCACCCCAAAAAGATTACTAAGTGGCTATCATACAGTGTATTTCTGTCCAAGGGCATATTGGCAGAAGAGAATGTTAATGTGTATCAAAATGATCTGAGGCTCTATTTCTTTATTTCACTTACTAAATATTTAGTAGTATTATTTAAGCAATTCCCAGGACAAATCAGCAGAGATGTTGTTTCCTTCAGGCCTTATTTTGATGGGCGCCAAATATTTAACTCCCTTCTAAGAGAGAGCTAAGAGATGCTAAGCATCTTCAGCACTTGATCACTCTGACACTAATTTAAAACACTACTGATACACAAGGTTATGAGATCCCTAAGACTCACTCCTCCATCATCTCCTGAGCCTACCTAGTAAAGTACCATATCTGTCCCTGTTGGGGATGGAGGAGGAACAAAGTGCTGGGGAACAAAAAGGAGTAGGGGATAACACTGTTTTCAAACTGTCACTGGAGAAAGGGCAAAAATGATCTACTCTCTTATCCCCCACCAATCAAGTAACTTAATTCAAGAATACTTGTTGATTCAGTGTCGAGCACTTGCATACTGAATAAAGTATTCACATTGAGAAGAAGCATGCACATCAATATAAAATCTTTAAATTTGTATCCTGCACCTGCAGATCTCCTCACAGAAGAAAACAAGCTGGTTCCTACTGTGACAGTTTTACTTCTTAAGAAATAACGTAGCAAATCCATCACAACTTCTGTTTCCAATATTATACTTACTATAATAAACTAGTAGCAAACAGCAATTCTTAAGGAGAATCACTAATGGTGAAATATTGCTGTACAAAATGTCTCGCTTTCCTTACTTTTAAAAAATACCTTCTGGGTTACACTTGTTTAGGTCTTGGAATGTAGAAATTTCTGCATACAGACAGCTGTCACAGCATATGTTGGTAGAATTTCCTACTATAGGAAAATATGCTCACCTGGATCCTCGGAAATATCCTTTAGAGATTTTTTTCATCCATGGCCATTTTTCTGCAGATCTGAAAATATTTTTTATACATGGCAATAAATGATTTAATAAAACCATGAATAGTGCTCTCATGAGTTTTCACAGCATGATCTCTTTCTATTATTCTTCATTTTTGATGGAAATCACTTTCTTCATGATAGTAGAAAAAACTCTCAGCCAGGTCCAATGAAACAGGTTTTCCTGTGAATATTGTGTTTAAAGCAACATGATATAGGCTACTTTTCAGAATACCTTTCAGTCAAAACAATGAATTACACACAAGTCCCTCAGAAAACATTTAAGGGTATTAAAATTTACCTAAAATTTGAATCCATTTTTTGCATTGTTGCTTTTTTTCTGTGCTTCACTGAACATGGATAGTGCAAAATAACTAGAGTTTCTAATCACTGTCATTTCCCCTTAAAAAAACAAAAGAACAAAAACAGACAAGAGCAACAAAAAAGCCTTCCTCCTGGTGTTTTGTATTTAAAGCACAAGGTTTCATTGTTTTCCAAAATAACTTCCATTTTAAATCTAAGCGAGTCCTTCAAAATAGCTGTTCAGATGTTTTATTTGTGCCAGTGCAGTCACCTGCCTCCCTCTGAGGAACTCTTTGGTGTACTTTTTTGTTGCACCTGGCTTGACATGTAGGTCCTGACCCCTAAAGTGACCTGCACAGGTCAAACTTTGCATCTGCTTGTAACCCAGTGACACAAGTGGGGTTCACTGGGAAAGCAAGGATAAGTAAATGCTTTGGACCTTCATTACGTTATATCACAGTAGGCTTCTGCTACGATTAGTCCCATAGATCTTCAGATTTTGAAGAGGGAAACATTCAGCCGTGCATTCTGATGTCAAGTGATTGACATAAAGGTGGGGTTTTTTTCTTGTTATGTTTCCATGTTCACTCACTGTTGCATACTTTGTTTGTCACTCTCCATGGGAAACAGCCCCTTATTCTGCTAATAGTCAAAGCTCCTGCCAAAAGAAATACTCCCAGTCAGAAACGTCTTCTGCCTTACTCTCAGCCCAGTAATGGCTCTTGATTCTTGGGAACGATTCCAGGTTTCTCTATTGCAAAATACTCAAGCAAAAGCAGATCTAAAGAAGGCTTTCCTTTACCCTTCCAGAAGCTTATACAAACATCCTGGATCATCCCTGCAGTGAAAAAACCCACTGCTCTTAGAGAAGTAGTTGGAAACAAAGGAAAATATTTCCATGTGTCAAGGGAGATTTCTGCAGGCAAAAGATAACTGCTGCTTTATTGACCAACCCTATCCTAGCAAAAATGATAGTTATCTGACCCTGACAGCATGAAGAATGTGCATACTTTGTCCTCCGCATTCCTCACTAAAGTGCTGGAAACAGAAGCTAATTATAACTTCTAGTTAACGTCATCTAAGGTTTCCATGGAGAACTCTGATACAGCAGTTAGGCTGTATGTAGTTAACGAGAGGTACCAGGACAGATCACAGGCCAACAGACCTATGGTCTTAGACTTCGACGTTGCCCTAGTGCTGCCCAGTGCTTGATGGCTTTTACTGTGAGTTTATCTGCCATTAAACCTCCCCCTCTACATACCCATTTCCAAAACATACCTTCTGAGGTCTTCTCTCATGAGGTCCCAGCGTCCTAAACCTGTTGGGTAAATTGGCCAAACAGCTGGTCCTCCTTCCCAAAATGTCCAGGCTGGATACATGATATCATTGTATTCAGGTGTCTTTAAAAAAGAAGAATAATGGAAGAATGAGAGTAGTATCTACTTCAGTTTACTGACTGAGCCCGCCAGTAATGAATGTTCCTTCTGGGAGCTCTGTCAGCTTTCTCCACTACTGTTGCATAAGCAGCCACGAGAGCTCTGCGGTCACCACAGCATTGTTGGGGTTCCTATGAAGACAACCCAATATTGAAATATTTCAATGATTTAAAAAAGGCTATGTCTTGCAGCACGACAACACAGGACTTTCATGTTAGAAAATAACGACAGAGAGATCCATGGTATAGCCGATTCGGAAATAGCAGAAGACCTGAGCTCCACTCACCTTTCTAAAAACTTGTGCCTCTGTGTAGCTACAAATGTTTTCTACTGATTGTAAGTTAAGATGCGTTATTACCTCCTCAGAGATAGAGACACTTACAGACACTTTGACATTTAGGTTTCCAACACTTCAGTTCATCCCAGCCTTCCCAGAGATCACTTAACAATTCACTGTAACAAATATCCAGGTCATGTAAGAATTTCAGTTCCTCTCTCCTATTTGGATGCTTAAATCCCCACTTAATCAGAGGGAAGACCAGCACTTAAGTAAGACCAAATCCTTTCATGAAACCAGACTACAGGCCACCTCCTTGCACTAGTAATAAACTCGCTATACAATTATCCATCTGTCAGCTGGAGATACTGGAGAGAGTCCAAGGCCACCAAGGTAATTAGGAGGTTGGTGCACATGACATATAAACAGGGGCTAAAAAATGGGTTTCTTCATGCATGGAAAGAAGAGGCTTGGGGGAATCTAAATGCTGTCTCCTACTACCTAACAGGAGAGTTCAGAGAATATGGAGGCAGACTCTTTTCAGAAGCGCATAGGCAAAATGAGAGGCAACAGGCTTTGATTAGAAGAAGGGAAATTCCAATTAGATACCAGGAAACATGTTTTCATTCTGAGGGAGGTCAAATGCTTGCTGTGAACACCCTGTTCTTGGAGGTGCTCAGAACTGCACAGGACACAGCCTGGAGCACCCTGATCTAGTTGGTCCCGCTCTGAGCGAGGTGCTGGACTGGGTGACCTCCGGAGATCCCTTCCAACTTAAATGAGCGTGTGCTTCTATGATCTGCTCCTTCTCAGTCTTACTATAAACAGGCATTGACAACAAACCATGACAGCTCCACCACCACCCCCAGGTCGGCCTTCTGAGATGCAGAATAGGACAATCCTGCAATCCCTTATGCTTTCAGCCTTAGAAAGCACCCTGGACCAGCAGCCTGGAGCCTTCCGAACACTGGCTGGTTAAATGTGAGCTGTGCCTGGATCGCTGGGTTTCACCTAAGGATAGGACTGAGGTTACAGCTGAGATATTGGACAACGGTGACCGGAGAACTCAGTTTCTTGCAGGATCCTGTGAGGCATGCAGGGGCAGGATGATGAGTACAGCTGCAAAGATTAAACTCCTGCAACCTGCTCTGCATCAATTTGGGTTCTGCTGGCTAGAGTTAAGGTTGTGCAATGGTCAAGGGGCAAGATGGCCAGCTTTACTACTACATCTGGCAGCAAACATGGTTATTGAATGACAGCGCTTGCAGTGCTGTACTGAAATTCTAGAGCGAGATTTAGGATGGCTGGGGACCAGGCAATAGTTATGGACCATATTATGGTTCAAACTGCACGAGCTGAAGACTCGGGTTCAGAGTAAGATGCTACAAGTTAGCAGAGACAGAATAGGGCCTGAACTAGCAAGAGCAAATGGTATATTGCTACTTTTTGTGTATTACTGACTGCTGGGCTCCAGCCAAGGACAGGATCATGATCAGAGTAAGGTAGAAAGGGTGCAGGAACTAGGCATATTGGCTATACATTAAGGCAAAGCAAGATTAGCTAAAGCTTGAGGTGTAACGATATTTTGTTGAAAAGGATGAGACACTATGCTACAGTCAGGTTTAGCAATGAGAGAAGTAGGAAGATATACGGGAGGGCTCTTGAGTCTGGGAACAGAGAAGCAGAGAGCGAATGTCTCTACATGTGCCTGCGCCTCTGCATGTGCGTACATGTTTGCAGATGGAAAAAGGAATCCAGGGAAAAAGCGTTCTCAGGAGACAGCAATATTAGAGAAGAGAAGAGAAGAAACGCATTTCTGTGGTACCAAAAAAGAGGACTAAAATATTCATTCTAAATGAGATTAACTGTATGACAGCTGACTGATGATCAAAAATCCTTAATAACACTGATAAACTACGGTTACAATTTTAACAGAGGCGTTGTAGCAAATGACAGCAATGCTGGCACATATCCCATCCAGCTGTGCATCATTCCACTGTGGCAGAGGTACATTTTTTGACCTGGAAGAGAAGCCAATGAGGGGAAAAACTGTTCTATTGAATAAATCTGCAAGTCTATCTACCAGAAAACTGGAAGTGGAAGGAAACATGAAGAGCAAAAAAGAGCAAGGAATTTTAACACACATAAAAACTGTGGAGAACCATCCTCAAAAATACGTTCCAAAGAGAAAGGAAGACATGCATGTCTCAGAAATGTCAGCTTTTAAAGGTGTACACACCTTACTGAAGGAGAAGACTGGGATAATAGGTTTCATCCACTTGGGGACCTGAGGGTAGTCTCGCACATTGATCACCATTTCCATGTCAGGGAGGCGGTTGATGATCCCCAGAAGGAAGTGCTCAACTCCACTGCATCTGTGGAGAAAGGACATATGGCAAAGAGCCATAAGGAAAAGGCAGAACCCTGCAGTCTTTTGCAGGCCTTTCTCTCTGTGCAGGAGCAGAAGAGACCGTGAGCCTGAGCCACACCATGACACAGGCTGGGAACTGCCTACAGCAGTCTCTAAGCCACAGTGCAGCACAGACACCAATGAAACAACCCATCCTGTTTTATCTGGCCTGACCTGCAGCTTTCTCTGGGATCTCACAACCAACCAACCCTTTATACACTGAAGTGCAACAATGACACTTACCTCTTGCTACATTTAAGCCTCATACCTAATTTTCTAGGCTCCTGCTCTGATAAGGAATTCAGACCTCTGAAATATCATCGTGCTCAGTGACTTTCAACTTGGCAGATTTGGAAGTACTCCTGTGTCCCAGCTAGGGAGACAAGATCTTCTGCACAGCTCCTACCTTGCAGGGAACAAGCAGTCCTGCTCACGGTACAATTTGTTCTTAATGATTTGGTAGTGTGTCCCGAGCTTCCGGCTCACTACATCCGATATAATCTCCTTGGAAATGCCACCTCGAAAAGGAGCCAGGTCCTGCTTCCAGACACTGAAACAAAACAATCAGCCATTATTATGTACAATAGGGAGGATACTGCACATTAAATTACTGCAGTACGCAGAACAGACGTCTAGCTAAAACAAGCTCCGTGTAGCTTCCAGGAGGTGTGCTCCCTGTGGCATAATGGAGAATTTAATTTATGTCACTTGGAAGAGCTGTTACTCAGAGACTCAAAGGTCCAAGCTTCACTCTTTGGCTATCTATGTGCTGTTTGCCCAAACAGAAAGCCCAGCACAGGACTCTGCGGCTAAATCAACATGGACAGCTCTAGTTACTCTCCCAGAAAGCAGGTTACATATCCTAGCAAGCAACGGGTAAAAGCCTTCAGCTCACTTCACCTTTGAGTTGCAAAGCTTGTGCTCTGGCCTTGCAGGAATGATGGGCCACACCAAGACCAAATTCCTCAAGCAATGTCATGCAATTTAGATATTAAAAAAAGAAGGCAAGAATCTAGTCACAAGGAGCAGCATCACCAAATAATGCTGTGTGCAGTGAAAGCCAGCCCCAGAGGAGAGGTTTACGCAGCATGTGTTCTGCAAAATCTGCACATCACCAGTGAGCTCCAGGAATGCAGTATGAAAACATAAACCTAACATATATAAGAAAACACAGAGGGAGGATACAGTTTATATGAATTTAGTCTAAAGGTCCTCAGATCTACCTGCTCGGAGCAGTTAACGAACACTGTCAGATTTAACAGCCACAGAGATGTCCTCCCCACTTTTTGGTAGACACTGCATCAATGCCTTGGTTTAATACAACACTGTAGGGGTGATCTGCTGTGACGGTGGTCAAACACTGGCACTGGCTGCCCAGAGCAGCGGCGGAGTCTCTACGTCTATTCTTTGACATATTCAAAACCCAACTGGACATAGTTCTGGCAACACTGCTTGAGTAGAGGTGTTGGACTTCATGATCTCAAGAGGTCCCCTCCAACCTCCAGGACTCTGCTAGTTTGTAATCAGGTGGAAAATTATTAAACTACATAAAGAATTGCCACTGAAATGATGGGCTGACCGCAGGATACGCAGTCTGGCAGGGACACAAACGTAGTGACCTTGAGAACAGGAAGAAAGCTGCAGTTTTATGGTACATCCATGTCATTGCAACCTAAGTGACAATTAAAAGGTAGTAATGAATAAGTTAGGACCTTCAGTCCTTGGCCACCAAGTCACAGAAGACTATATGCAAGTACAATATGTTACATGGGGAAAAGTACTAGCTTTCAGCATTCTGTGGCATATTTACAGACCTCTAAATCAGCTGTCAAAATGGTTTAAGTTTCTTAAGGGTCACACAGTGTACATGCTGTATTATCTTCCTGGATTTTTTTGTAATGCCCATCACTATAGCAGTGCTCCTTAACAACCCTTAAATGAACTACCGCTGCAGTGAAAACTGGGTTTGGAGAACCACAGTAACTGTAACCTCACGTTACTATTGTCTACCATACTCTGCAACAGGTTTGGAGGTTGTAACCACTTGGGAAGGTGCTCTTCCCAAAGGTGGGCAGCAGACGGTGGAGTGTATGTTTAAAGATCAGGAGATGTCTTAAGGCTGTATCTGAATTGGAACTGAGGAAAAAGACTGGAAGGCTAAACTAGAAGAGACTTTTCCTCATCAATATTTCAAGAGCGATGAAGATCAAAAACTCCACAGCATATAAACAGTTGGCTAATATGACTCAACTGATATTAAAAGCTGATATAGCACCCATCTCACCCCCAAAATGAAAGAGCACATCTGCTGTTTTTAAAATAGGAGGCTTAAAGTTGGGCATCTATGTTTCTGCATTCAGAACCCAAATCCTAAGGACAAAAGGATATTTTGACTCTTCCCTGTATTCCCTCTTCCCCTTTAAATAAAAATATTGCTTAAAGACATCAGAAAAACCCAGTCCTACAGTCCCTACCCACATAACAGTGATGACCTGTAATATTCTCCATGCTGAAGTCATGCTCTACCAGTGGGACCAGAAGGGAAGTTTGGTTTGGCTGTGTCTACACTTGTACTGCCTACAGTGGTCTTGCATCTACATATAAGTCTCTAGCTCTCTGCACTAAATCACTGTAGGAAGATTAGGCAGAGTGCTGGCATTTTGCATAATGCTCCATAGTTATAAAAAAATAAACAGGACTTGTGTCTTCCTGCATGAGCTCCTCTTGGATCATATTTTGGTCATGTGAAAATCATACCCACTGCCACTCCGATTCGCACAAGCAGTGAGCTAAACTCTCTAGAAAGAGCACTCTTTCAGTTCTATCCCCCCCTTCACTGGAAGCCCTCTCCAAGCCCAGGGAGTGAGCAAAGTACAACACACTATCACACCAAATGAATCTGTGTTCTGTAACAACCTTTCTTAATCTAGCTATTTTAAAATATTTTGCACATACAGAATGACTTGTGAGCAACACTGCACTGAGAGAGAAGGTAGAAGTGGATTATTAACACACAAATATCACCAACAGTGTATGGGTTTGTTGTGTGATCATATATGAAACACTGGCATACTGTCAGTTGTTCAATCACAGAAGACAACAAGGAGAGTCACCAGTTTGCAGGTGGACACACCCTCTGTTGGAACTACAGAGGGCAACCTGTTTCACACAGTGCCATTAATCATAGAATACCAGGTTGGAAGGGACCTCGAGGATCATCTGGTCCAACCTTTCTTGGCAAAAGCATGGTCTAGACAGGAAGGCCCAGCACCCTATCCTGTTGAATCTTGAAACTGTACAATGATGGGGAATCCACCACTTCCCTGGGGAGACTATTCCAAGGGCTGCTTGTTCCCACTGTGAAAAATTTTCCTCGTGTCCAAAAGAAAATAATAACTTCCTAATAATTAATAACCTCCCTCTTGCAAGCACCGTGACCTATAATGGCAGCAGATGTGATACTTTAGAGCCCAGATATTCTACAGCTAACTGCCATCCATCGGTGCTGGCAAAAGTATTCCCCCTCATGGCCAGAGGCCTGTGCGCAGTCAAAAGGAAACCAAACCAGCCTCTCACCTTCGGTGGCAGCTGCAATTCTCCTTCACACACGGCTCGTAGCCTTCCACAGCTTTCTCAATTTGGTCCGTTATTCCTTCCCACTTGGCATCTAAAACGCAGCGGGGGGGGAAGGCAAAGGAACGAAGCCGTTAAACTGCCGGTGCAACCCAGCCGGGGCTCAACAGGACTCACTTCTGGTCCAGCCGGCAATCCCACCAGGGTCCCACAACACCCCACGGGCAAGGAGAAGGGCCACCCACCTGAGCGGGGGCCGGGGAAGGAACTGTGGGGTCGGGCCCCCCGCGACGGTCCCCGGGCCGAAAGGGAAGCCGGGAGAAGCCTCCGGCTTTCAGCCCGGGGTCCGTCGCGGGGTGCTGAGGGAGCTGCCCGGCCGGGCGGAGGAGGAGGAGGAGGAGGAGGCGGCGGCGGCAAGG